CCCTGAAAAACTCAAACTTTGACAACCAAACTTAAAAAGATGCCTAGAGGTGTGGGAGAGGGAACCAAGGAATTTTGGTGGCGGGATTGGTACTGGAACATTGAATGTCTAAAACCCAACTATGAATAACTTTGCAAATGATGATGCTTTAATAAAATAAAAAAAATATTTGAAAGAAAAATAAATAAATGTGAGAAGTCAAGAGACTGGCTGAGATGGGGATGTCTCCGGTTGTCCTGGGCTCTGGGCCCTCTTGGGATCTGACTGTGGGATTTCAGCTCCTGGGCAGAGGGATGCTGATATTCCTTAAACCACCGGGAAGGTTATCTTCTTCAACTTATCTTCTTCAACTCCATTCACATTCTTCCCTGTGATATTTCAGCTCATTTTATAATCTGAACTCCTGGCTGAACTCTTAGTATATTCCCCGATCCAGTAAATCCACCAGCTGGTTCTGGAGACAGGTCATCTCTCTCTCTCTCTCTCTCTCTCTCTCTCTCTCTCTCTCTCTCTCTCTCTCTCTCTCTCTCTGTCCCTGGGAGAGACAATAAAATCATTTGTTGAGAAGAAAATGTGGCTTCTTTTCCACTAAATATGTGATTCCCATGCAGTTTGAATTAAAGAGGAAAATCTCGGGTGCTTCAGTAACACCATATGCTTAAAGCATTAAAACTGTTGTAAATCATAATACTTCAATACAAAAATTCAGATTCTTTTATTTAATTAGGCAAAATGTTTTTACATTTCATATGTAAAAACAATTTTCAAAGGAGTTGCTGAAGATTTTTAAAATAGAAGACTAAAGAGAAGACACATTTAGAATTAAAAATTCAATGCATGTCTACAGCCGTACCACCCTGAACGAGCCCGATCTCGGCTGATCTCGGAAGCTAAGCAGGGTCGGGCCTGGTTAGTACTTGGATGGGAGACCGCCTGGGAATACCGGGTGCTGTAGGCCTTTTGTGGGGTCATGGGGCATTTGCTTATTCCCAAAATGCAAAAAAAAAAAATGGGGGCCAGAACGATAGCACAGTGGGTAAGGCGTTTGCCTTGCACGCGGCCGACCTGGGTCCGATCTCCGGCATCCCATATGGTCCCCCAAGCACCGCCAGGAGTAATTCCTGAGTGCAGAACCAGGAATAACCCCTGAGCAACGCTGGGTGTGACCCAAAAAGCAAAAATAAAATAAAATAAAATAAAAATTCAATGCACATATGTGTGTACATGTATATTGTGTTTATGTGTCTCTAAAACTTGTAATATTAATGAAGTAGGTGAATGACAAAGAATATACATTATACATGTAAGTAATAATATTGTACTTTAAGGGAAATCACAAACTGCCTTAATATTTGATGATGTAAAATTCAGAATTCTTATATTGACAAAGCAAGCATTGTGAAAAAATACAAAAAGTTGGAAATGGTACAAACAAAAATTATGCCCAACCCCAAACCTCAGATTCTAGCTGCATAACAAACTAATCCAAAACAATAAGGGCTTAAAGACCTCCAGGGAGATAAGTGAGTTGACAGTACGCTCAAGAGGAACCCAACTAGCCACCACTGTATTTTGAAACCATGGTAGATTTCGTTACAAAATATAACAAAACAAAATGCCACTTTCCCCTGATAAACTGGCAAAAAAAAATTGAGGGGTTCAACCTGGTGTCTAGGGCTTGCTCCTGGCTGTGTTCAGGGAACCACCTGGGGATGGCTTGCAAGACAAAGCAACCTAAGTGCTGTTCTGTCTCTTCAACCTCACAAAAAGGTTTCAATGGCAATATCTAGGGTGAGCGAGAGTAAAATGAAACTGATGCTCTTACATATGAGTCAACAATTTGGCAGTACAATTCAGGGGCTTAAAGACTGGAATGTTCTTTACCCTGGTATTGCCACCCTGGCAGCCTATTGTAAGTCAGCCAATGAAATGGCTGGTTATATTTGCCTTGCGGTAACCATTGGTCCCTATTTCATTTCTGATTTGAAGATGCCTTTCCTGCTAATTTTAAGCCTGATGAGAAGGGATGTCTTCACAGAAATCCCAACATCTAATACAGGACTGAGTGGACAGCAGGATCTAGTGGTAGCTAGTTTGGTCAATGTATTGGAGTGGGTTTGCATTTCTTTGGGTTCTTGTGGATGGTGAGTAAGATCAGCACTCTGACCTCTAGAGAGCGTTGGTTTCACTATTCTTGATTTTACAGTTCAAGTGGCAGGGCTATTGCAATGTTCTCATCTGAGACCGTTAACCCACCCATCACACCACAACACAAGACTCCACACCAGCAGACCAGCAGACCATCAGGCCAGCCCTTCTATTGGTTATCAATCCCTCCCTTCTATCTGATTGGTAACACTCTTGGAACTCACCAACCAGGATGCAGATATCCAGTGCAAATAAGGATGTGTATGCAAATAAGGGTCTAAACAGAGGTCTAGCCTCTCCCTCCTCTTTCCACCATAACAAATGCCTCAGCCACAATAGAAAGGGGAAGAACTTGATTGTCCAACAATGAGAGATGGTTAAGTCCTCTTTTAAATATACATGCCAGAGACCATTAAAATGATGAATCTCAATAGGGTAGCAAAGTGTTCCATTTCTAATGTCAATGAGGAAAAGAACTCAAATTTGATACAGTGTGATTTTGACACATAAACACACCAAAAAAATCTTTATTTTAAGCTGTGTAATTATTTTTTCATGACACACAAAGTGAAAAATGTCCCCCCAAGAGAGTGAATAGGATATCCCATATATAACTGTCAACAAAAAAATGAGACATTGGCTCCAGGGAGGGGGGGAAAAAATCTCCCCTCCACAGTTGAGCCATAAACCAGCCAAAAACGCAACGCAAGCTCGTATTTTTTTTTTGTCTTATTTTTATTTTAGGCACCATAGTTTACAATCCTCTTAATGGTAGAGTTTCATGCATAAAACATTCCACTTTGAATTCATGCTGCCAGCCTGGTCCTCAGAGCCTCACGCAGAGACTCTAACTCAAAACAGTCTCAGGTTGGTGGTTTCTCCAGATGGCTGACAAAAGCAAACACAAATCTTCTCCAGGAGCACTCAGCCTCCATGGGGCCAGCAGCAGAGCTAAGTCACCCAGCAGTGAGAGCAAGTGGAAAAAAAGAAGGCATCCTCCCACTGATGAAATGGGCTAGCAATATCTGAATGGCCAACTCAGTGGTGAGAAGAGTGTGGATCAAAAATACTCTTATCTAATGTATTTTCTCTAACCAAGCTTTCTTTTGTACTGGGGAAAGTAATTTCATCGAAGAATTATCTAAGAGTCATTCACAGCCCCCTATTCCAAGAGCTAAATTTAGTATGTTCCCTTCCTTTTGTCATTTAAAATTCAGTAGATTCCGAGAAGGTAAATCTGATGGCTGGGTCGAGAGCTTCTTCCAAACTGAAAGCAAATTTGGCCTGTCTCCCACATTAGCACTTTTAGGCAGCTACTGTGTGCAAAGTGGTAGGCTAGTCCTAGATGGAGGGAAGTGTTGTAGAGATAAAGGGTCCACTTCTTTTTCTTTCACTTAGTTGTCAAACACTCTGGAGTCCAGCTTTGTCAAGGCCTGTGAGCTGGAAATCCTACATTGACAGCTCAGAAGAGGTACTCAGCTAGGGCTTGAGTATTTCCGCCTTCTGCTTACCTAACAAATTGATTGGGATATAGACTATAAATCTCTCTCTCTCTCTCTCTCTCTCTCTCTCTCTCTCTCTCTCTGTGTGTGTGTGTGTGTGTGTGTGTGTGTGTGTTGAGAGTATTGCACGAAAGGGTGCTGGGGTGGAAAGAGGGTCTTACTGCAAAAGACCTGGAAAAGGGAATTCCTTTAGGGGCGAAAGGGAAAGAACAGACCTAAACAAAACTGATGGCTTGGGAAACGGAAGTTTTTCCATGAAACCATTTTATAGTTAGAAGTAACATTTTGAGCACCCCAGTCCTGGGGGGTGTGGGTGGGGGGGGGGTAAAGAAAGAACAGACCTAAACAAAACTGATGGCTTGGGAAACGGAAGTTTTTCCATGAAACCATTTTATAGTTAGAAGTAACATTTTGAGCACCCCAGTCCTGGGGGGTGTGGGTGAGGGGGTAAATCTGTAAATCTGGAGATCAGGTGGGCTTTGAGAGGGGGCCGGGGATGACAGGAAGAACCCTTCGAATCGCAAAGAAAGAATGAGGTGAGCGGAGAAGTTGAGCTCTCTGCACAGCGCCTCCAAGCTCGGAAGCCCCCGCCTCCGCCTGTTCCCGGGAGAAGCCTGTGGCTGTGCGCGCTACAAGGCACCCTGGGGGGTTCTCATAAAGATGCACAGCCCTGGAGTCAGGCACGCACTGAGAACTCCGCTGGAACCCCCTTCCCACGGAAATAATCCGGGGCTGCTGGTCCCAGGCCAGTCTCGAGGACCTACAATGCAACCGGGGAATCCACATCATCCTAAAAAGTGTCGGGGCGGGTCTCATTGTTGATGGAGTTGGAGTTAGTTCAGGCGCTCCTCCGCCGCCGCCAAGGACAACCTCCAAGCCTGGCGGGTGTAGACTGAGTCACTGAGCCCCCAGACACGGGCTAGCCAGCTCCAGCTCCTCCAAAGACCCATCAGAGCCGGGAAAGTGGGGAAGGGTGGGGGGAGCCCAGAGGGGTCGGGTCCAAAGCCCGCGGGCCGCCAGCGCTTCCCGGGCCGCAGCTCCGGCCACACATCCGGGATTATGTAATGCACATCTGTCACGGGCGCGGGGACCAGCGGCTTCCACCCACGAGGCTGGCGCGCAAACATCCAGGGGTGGGAGGGAGGGGGGGGATGCCGTGAGCCCAGGGGAGCGGGGTGTGGGGTGGGGGCGGATCTCCAACCCGAGGGCACCTGCCCGCGGCCCCCCAGGTGCAGCGATCGGGGGCGGGCCCACCCTCCCCACCCCCGGGAGGCGGCGAGGGGCGTCCCGGCGGCGCTGGCCCGGCGGCCCGGGAGGAGGCGCGGCGGGCGCGGGGCAGGTGCGGGGCCCGGGGCGCGGCGGGGGCGGGGGCCGGCGGGCAGGGGAGTGCCCGCCCCTCGGCGCCCGCGGCTCCGCCTCGCTTCGCCATGGTGGAGCGGGGAGACGCGGCGCCTCTGCTGCGCTGGGCCGAGGGCCCCGCCGTGTCCCCGCCGCAGGCCCCGGAGCTGCAGGCTGCAGGCCGGGCTCCGGGGCGCGGCGCGGGGGGCGGCGGATCGGCCGCCGGGACCCCCGGGGGGCGCGCGCCCCGCGAGCTGCCGCAGCCGGGGCGCCCCGAGCTGGGCGACGTGGAGGAGGACCAGGTGGTGGCCGTGTTCGTGGTCACCTTCGACCCCCGCTCGGGTGAGAGCCGCGGCGGGAGCCGGGCGGGCTGGGGTGGGGGGGGGGGCGGGGAGAGGATGGATCGGGGACAGGGGCGTCCCGCCGCCGGCGCCCCGCGGGGGAGGGGCTCGCTGCGCGCGCACCCGCACCCCCACACTGGCACCCCCCTTCCACTACGCCCCCGGCGCGGCCCCGAGGAGCGCGCGGGGGTCCCCGCCAAGTCGGCGGCTTTGTTCGCGGCGCCCCGCAGCCCCCTCTGCCGCGTCCCCCTCCACGCCCCCTCTGCCCGGGACCCCCCACAACCCCCACCCCACCCCGGCCGCGCGCCCCCCCGCGCTGCTCCCGACCTCGGTTGGGACCCGGGGTGCGGCCGCGGGCACCTCGGCTTTTGTTTGCTGGGTTTGTGTGGCTGGAAGGGTTGTGTGTTTCTCTCCCCGAGGGGACGCACCCCCCCCACCCCGCCCCGGGCGCCCCGTCCAGGTTCGCCGCCGCCGCGCCGCCCACCCCAACCCCCACCTGCGCGCATCGCAACTTTGCAAGCGTTCACTTTCTCCGGCTGCGTGGGTTTGGGGAACCGAGGCGCGAGCGGGAGGGCTAGGGCGCAGGGATGAAAGGGGGAAACTCCACCCCCCCCCACCCCGGAGCTAGTTTGTGGGGACCGGGACCACTCGGGGCGGCCCAGGGAGTTGGAGTGAGGGAGGTCTTCTGGGGTTCCGGAGGGAAGGGACGGACGCACTCGCAAAGCCTCAGGTGGCCCTGGAGGCGCCCGCACCCCGGGGCGCGGCGCGCGGGCTGCGGGCGGGCGGGACGGGCTCTGGAGCCAGGTGCGCTTCCGCCCCTGCCCCCACCAATGGGCTGGGCTGCGGACAGTCGCCCTTGGCTCTGGGCTTCCCCTCGGGGCCCCTGGGGGTCAGGGTAGGCCGCTTTCGGAGGAACTTGGTAGGTGGGTGCTGGGGAAGGCCGGGGACCTCGGGACGGGGCTCTGATGGGGCAGAGGATGGACCAATGGGCAAGTACCTGAACTTCCGGCGGGGATTCTAACCCAGCAAGACCCTCAAGGGCTAGTGAAGCCCTTTGGGGCTCCCCTAAGTCCTTTCCTAAGGCTTTCAAGCACCCTGACTGATACTGTCACTTGCATATATGAAACAGAAGCGCCAAACTCCTGTCCATATGGTGCATGGTGGTATTTCCTCTCCCCCCCCCCTTTTTTTTTAAAAAATAAGTTTATGGTGTTTCTTTTTCCTTGTTTTTGTTTGGGGGGGGGCACACTCAGCTGTGCTCAAGGATTTCTCCAGGCAGGGCTCGGGGACCTTTATGGGGTGCCAGGGATCCGTCTCATGCAAGGCCAGCGACCTGTCTGCTGTACTCTGGTTCCCACCGTTGGGCATATGTTTTTTTTCTACCTTTATTACTAACATATAAATGAAGAAAAAATAAAGGATCCTCATTCTTTATACCTTTCCTTTCACCTACCTGTAAATGGATGGGAGCAGAGCATTCATTCTGGGAAGTGTTTCTGAGAGGAGCTATAAGAACAGGAAAGGTAGCAGGGTAAGACAGAGAAGCCAGAGCTTAAGGGGAACAGGGAGTGAAGGAGAAAAGAAAATCCTGCAGGAATCCCAGATGGAGTTGATAAACTTGAAAAGCATGCTCACCTCCCGGCCCTTGGCATTTACAGTTGCTGGGAATGTGTGTGTGTGTATGTGTGTGTGTGTGTGTGTGTGTGTGTGTGTGTGTGTGTGTGTATGGTGTATGTGCTTGTGTACAATGGTGGTCAGATAAGAAGGGAAGGGAACTGATAAGTGAACTCTTATGCCTTTCATGTCATACTGACCATTGGCCCGGAATTCCATCGTTTATACCCAATGAACACACGAGTAAACAGCATCATTCTAGCCTATAAACTCCCCGTCTAGGCTTCCTGCTAGTAAAACACACTTCCTCAACTGCTGTCTTTCATTTTTCTGTTTGTTTGTGCCAGTGATCAAATATATAAGGCCTGCTGCTCAGAGGCCTTCATCATTGCCAGGGAGTAGAGAAGTGGAGGGAGAGGCCACAGAGAGATCTGAACTGCGGTTCGTGCTGGGTTGGTTTGGAAGCCATTGTTTGTTTCCTGCCGTATACTTGTTTTCCTCTTTCTTCCCCTCTGTCATCTATCCCTGTTCTAAGCAACCCTTTCCCCGTGTTCTGATAGCACCCTTGAAAAAAAGTAAAAATTCCAGGGCACATCTAAAAGTAGCAGGGTGAATGAATGAATGAATGAGTGAGTGAATGAATGAATGAGTGAACCAAGGGCCTCAAAAGTGAACCTCAGCCTCAGGGCTTGAGGCCAGTTATATCCGTGTGTGATGCTGGAGAGGTGAGCACCGGTCCTGGGGTCTTCACAGTCACCATCCATCATGGTGGGTCTCCCGGTCATTCTCATCCCCTTTGCTCTGTGAATCACAGTCACTAAGACTTTAGCTGCCCCTTAGTCCAGTGCTCTTCACCCATTGTATACCTCCAGACCAGCATGTGTCCTGCTTACGGGTCCACAAATGGGCAGTTTATGATGGAGGAAGGTTTTCAGCCTTTCCACACCTCAGATTGGCTCCTCTGCAGACCAGTCATTGGAAAATGCTGCCTTAGTCCGAGTCACCAGCGGTGGCAGGGTGACAGGCGGTAGAACACAGGCCCAGTGTGTGAGACCCTGAGTTTGATCCCCGGCACTGCCTGACTCCTGAGTACAGCTGACTTGATGGTAGATATGGCCCTGATAGAGCCCAGTCCTACCGGAGGTGGCCCTTATTTTTAAAAAATGTGAGAGCTGGAGAGACACAGGGGTTAAGGCATTTGCCGCATATATGGCCAACCCTGGTTTGATCCCTTGCCACCAGATAGGGTCCCCAAACATCATCAGGAGTGATGCCGGAGCACAGTCAGGAATAAACCATGAATACCACTGGGTAAAAATAGCAGAGTGATGCTGACTTCTTTACCAACCTCAGAATGTATCATAGGGAGCTGGATACAGTGGGTAGGGCATTGCCTTGCACACAGCCAACCCAAGTTTGATTCCCAGCATCCCATATGGTTCTCCAAGCACTGCCAGGAATAACCCCTGAGCATGTCTGGGTGTGACCCAAAAAGCAGCAAAACAAAACAAAACAATGTATCACAGAAGTGATTCTGGGAGAAGGTATCTTTTTATTATTATTATTATTTGTTTTTTTGTGTGGCATTAGAACTTGGACTCACGTCTGACTTCATCATTAAGGGTTCATGGGAATGGTACTTTATCTTTTTGAATTCGTTTTTCATTTGAGAATGAAGATAATAGTATTATTCCTGTGCCTTGCGCGCGGCTGGCCTGGCCGAGCCAGGTTCGATTCCTCCGCCCCCTCAGAGAGCCTGGCAAGCTGCCGAGAGTATCTCGTCTGCATGGCAAAGCCTGGCAAGCTACGTGTGACATATTCAATATGCCAAACACAGTAAAAAACAAGTTTCACAATGGAGATGTTACTGAGTCCACTCAAGCAAATCGATGAACAACAGGATAACAGTGCTACAGTGCTACAGTGCTTGATTGTGTGTGTGTGTGTGTGTGTATTTTGGGTCATACCTGATGATGCTCAGGGGTTACTCCTGGCTCTGCACTGAGAAATTAATCCTGGCAGTGCTCAGGGGACCATATGGGATGCCGGGGATTGAACCCAGGTCGGCCACGTGCAAGGCAAACATCCTGCCCGCTGTACTGTCACTCTATCCCCGAGGTGTCTTGACTGCTTCTCTGTCCCCTAAACCCCCATGTTTCCCCACCCCCCCACTACCATCTGTTTTGCCTGTACCCTTTTGCTGCCTGCCTGGGCTCTCTCTTTCTCCCAGTTCTCTTTCATTTTCTACCCAGGCCTTGGGGGTTTTATCCATCTTTCTACGTAGCAGAGAGAACTGTTGACAGGTGCCTGGATCCAAGTGTGGGAGCGGGTGAGACACGGGGAAGATGGAGGCGGACCCTCCGCTCTGGCTTATGTGTGGGGAGAGCGGCCGGCCAGTGAGGGGGGTGTGGGCACACCCACATCTCGGCAGGGGTGTGCTCACTGGCTCTCACGCTGGGCTGAGATTCTTTGGTGATTCTTTGAGTGATTCTTTGGTCCCAAGGGGATAATTTAGGGGTTTAGGGCGCTGCCTTCCCTCAGCCAGCCCTGGATGGGTCCCTCGCAGCACACGGTCTTCCGAGCCCAACAGGAGCGACCCCCAAGCACAGGGCTGGGAGTAGTTGCTGAGCAGGGCTGGGTGCTGGACCCCTCCCTGCCTAATTCCTTTTTGATACAAGTTTTGGAAAACTGGTGTGGGAATCTGTAGGTAGAATCAGAGAACAAGGTAAAGCATAAAGAACATTATTTCTTATTTGTCTTGTGGTTGAAAAATTGGGGAGTTGGATCTGAGAGTGGGGTGAGAACAAAGGGCTTCAGGTTGGAGTGAGGTGGAGGCATCATGTATGCGTGCTCATGCACACACTGTGTCTGTCTCAGTCTGCAACACACACACGTACACACACCATGTCTCACTCATTCTCTCAGTCTGTCACACACACACAGTGTCTCTTATTCACTCACTCTCTCAGTCTGTGACACACACACCATGTCTCTCCCACACACTCCCTCTCTCAGTCTGCAGCACACATCATGCCTCTCACACACTGTCTCAGTCTGTGACACACACACCTTGACTCTCTCGCACACTCACTCTCCGTTACACACACACACACACACACACACACACACACACACACACCATGTCTCTCTCTCACACTCTCTTGGTCTGTAACACACACACACCATGTCTCTGTAACACACACACACATCGTGTCTCTCACATTCATTCTCTATAACACATACACAAACACACACACACACACACACACACACACTGTGCCTCTGTCACACTCATTCCCCTCAGTCTGTGCCATGCGCCATGTCTCACACTCTCTCCTCTGTCTCTGTCTGGAAGCAGGAGTCCCACCACTGGTGCTGGCCACCTCG